GCTACTGCTACTACCGCTACCACTACTGCTACCACTACTGCTACTACTACTGCTACTACTACCACTACTGCTACTACTACCACTGCTGCTACCACTACTGCTACTGCTACCACTACTGCTACTGCTACTACTACTGCTTCTACTACTACTGCTACTACTACCACTACTGCTACTACTACCGCTACTGCTACTACTACCACTACTGCTACTACTACTGCTTCTACTACCACTACTGCTACTACTGCTGCTATTACTACCACTGCTGCTACTACTACTGCTACTGCTACCACTACCGCTACTGCTACCACTACCGCTACTTCTACCACTACTGCTACTACTACTACTACTGCTGCTGCTGCTGCTTCTGCTGCTGCTGCTACTACCACTACTTCTACTACTACTGCTACTACCGTAGAGCTACACTGAAGCCAGAGTGATCCTTCTTAAGATAAATCTACTTATAACTCTCCCCTACTTCATATCTTTCCGTGGTTCCCTAATACTTGTTTTTGTTTTTTTATATGTATACATATTTGTTGAAGTGTAGTCAGTTTACAATGTTGTGTCAATTTCTGGTGTACAGCATAATGCTTCAGTCATATATATATATACATATATTCATTTTCATGTTCCTTTTCACTGTAAGTTACTACAATATATTGAATATAGTTCCCTGTGCTATATAGTATGGACTTGTTGTTTATATTATATATATTAGTATCTTGAACTCCCAGTTTATCCCTTCCCACCCTCCTCCCACCCTGGTAACTATAAGTTTGCTTTCTATGTCTGTGAGTTTGTTTCTGTTTTGTAAATAAGTTTGTTTTTTTAATTTAGATTCCACATGTGAGTGATATCATATGGTATTTATTTATTTTTCTCTTTCTGGCTTACTTCACTTAGAAAGATAATCTCCAGGTTCATCCATGTTGCTGCAAATGGCATTATTTTATTCTTTTTAATGGCTGAGTAGTATTCCATTGTATAAATACACACAACTTCTTTATCCACTCATCTGTCGATGGACATTTAGGTGGTTACCATGTCTTGGCTATTGTAAATAGTGCTGCTATGAACATTGGGGTGCATGTATCTTTTTGAACTTAAGGTTCCCTCTAGATACATGCCCAGGATAGGGATTGCTGGATCATATAATAAGTCTATTTTTAGTCTTTTAAGGAATCTCCACACTATTTTCCATAATGGCTGCACCAAACTATATTCTCACCAACAGTGTAGGAGGGTCCCTTTTCTCCACAGCCTCTCCAGCATTTATCATTCATGGACTTTTGAATGATGGCCATTCTGACTGGTATGAAGTGATACCTCACTGTAGTTTTGATTTGCATTTCTCTGATAATTAACAATATTGAGCATTTTTTCATGTGCCTACTGGCCATTTGTATGTCTTCATTGGAGAGTTTCCCTAATACTTGTGCAAAGCCGTCTTTGAATCAGATGTGACATAGAGATTTCTTCTGCTTTTCTCTGACAAGCCATCTCCTCCCCTTTTTCCTTTGGTGGATCTGACTGATGAGAGGAATGGCCTGCTGTTGGGGGCCTAGAGGTACTGTCCTAAGCATTCCACTACAACTTCTAAATTTCACTGACATCCATGAAAAGTTATGCAAATTTTACAGTCCATGCCACAATATGAGTTTATTTTAATAGGAAAGTAATGGTAAGTAAGTTGTCATACCTGCTGTTGATTTGACTGTACTTTTAGGCTAGAAGTGCCCCTTGCCTTATCCTCCGAGGGCTCAAGGTTGAGAGAAAGGGGGACTTTACAGGATAAAGTTAGAACTTGTAGCATGAAATAGTTTGGACCGCTGCTCCCCTCATGCCTGTTGCTGGCCGACCTGCCTTACAGCCCGCCTGACTTGGTGGTCTCCCCAGCCTTGTTCCTCTCCATGAATTCACACCTACCATCTGCTGCCTCCACTGCCTTTCCTCTCCTCTTTTGCCTGACAAATTCCAATTTACCCTAAAGACTCAGACTCCTGGAAAACCAAGTATTTAAACTCTCTCCAGCATCCTCTGGCAGAGTTAAATACCCCTTTCTTCCTGATGCTGTTGTGGCTTCATGACAGTATCAAGCTCAGCACGTTGCCCTAATGATTTGTTTACACATTCTCCTTCTCTGTTGAATAGGAAGCCTTTGGAAGCCAGGTGAAGTATGGCTTCCTGTCTCCACTTTCCAGCCACTGCCTATGTACACAAAAGTAATGATAATAGTTGATATTCACTGAGCCTTTAGGTTCCAGATAGTGCTTTATACAAGTAAGTTCTAAGTAAGTAAATTAAATAAATATGTCACTTAATCATCACAGAAATCCTGTAACATAGCATCTCCATTTTATAATGAGAAAAACTGAGATATGAAAGGAAAAGTAACTTGTATAAGAAAGCTGGAATTTGAACCCAGTCCAGGGCTGTTCTCTTAATAACATCCTCTATTGCATAGAATAATTATTTTATGAAAGAATGAATGAGGATAAATTATATACTTTGTAATTCACTGTAGAAATATTAGATGGGTTTTTCTTCACCCAAGAATGGACTCTGAAGTTTAATTATTAAGGAAGGTATGCTTGCCTGTGGATTCTTCTTATCTGTTATCTCTATACACCATCAGGGACTTCAGCTCTGTCCAGTGTAAAACCAGTAATGTCTGCTGATGAAGAAAGGCCTTGACAGGAAAATAGGGATGGGCTGCTCTGGCCCTGCAGGGCTCTGGGGTTACCAGCTTGAGCTAATTTCCACTGGCCCAGAGGACCTCTGAGGGGCTGAGGGAAGGCAGGTCTTCTCAAGAGTCTGAAAAAGCCTCCCTAAGGAATATACTGACCTCCGTGGTTCCCCCGTAAACTTGGGCTGGTCCTTGTTATCAGCTTGGCTCACAGGACCCCTGAACACAGAATGGAACCTCTGACTATAACCCATCTTGACCCACACAAGTCCACTGTCCAGAGGTGAATGATCACAGACAGGCTGGCCCTGCTTGGAGCCCCTTCCCTGACTGTGCTGGGACTGGGCAGCCCCTGGGGGGCAGTCTGATTGGATGATGTCTGCTGGACTCCACGTCCTCCCACTTTGAAAAATGGCAGAATATTTCATCAATTTAGTGGTCACAAGAACTTGTTACTAATTGTGGTTTCTGATGTTAGTAGAGCAAAGCAATGATGTAGGCTACCAAAGAGCATTTATATTTGACTCTGGAATATATAAGATATTGGTTAAATATCTTATATATAAATATAAAATATATAAGATACTGGTTAAAAAAAGGAAAAGATACTTTGAATCACTGTTGGTAAAGGGGCAAATTGATTTAAATTTTCTGAAATACATTTTGAAAGTATGTATCAAAAGCCTTAAAAACTCACATACCCTTGGGTCAGGCAATTCCACTTCTAGGAATTTATCTTACGTGAATAACAAGTTTGTGAAGATTTATATTCAAGAATGGTCAATAAAGTCTTTATATGAGCAACTCAAGTTCTAACAACAGAGAATTTGGTTACATAAATTAGGTTTAATTATATAAGATGGACCATACAACTACTGAAATAATAGCAAACGTGATGGTTATGTTCACAATATATTAGATGTATAAAAACAGTACACTTAATGTAATTCATTTTCTTTAAAAAATAGAAAAATTCTGGAAAATCATACACTAAATGCTATCTCTGGGGTAGAATTACAAATATTTAAAATTTTCTTTCAGTTTATCTGTATTTTTAAATTATCTATATAATCCAAGTACAATTTTTTCTTGTATTTTAAATTTCAAGACTTAAAAAAAAAACCCAAAGTTGACGTCATAAGCCCGGTCCCATGCCCTCAGCGATCAGTTGCCCAAGCACTGCTTGCTCTGCTGCGGTTCGGTACATTAGCACGTCTGTCAGCGGGGAGAGGGGCTCGGCGGCTCTGAGCAGGAGGGCCTTCGTGGGACGATGAACAGGCACTTGTTCCGCTCTCTAGGATATGAAATGAGGTGAGGCAAGCCTGGAGAAATTACTCAGAGCCTTACTTACTTACAAGGTTCCGAAGGGTTGGAACCTTGCCACATACATCTGCATCAGTTTTCCTTTTCAAATACCATAATTTTATTTAATCTTCCAAAACAAATTATTATCCTTCTAAAACTGCCCAGGGCTGGCCCATATTGGTTTAAAGAACCAGACAATATGCATGTTGGTTCTTCAGTATCATCAGTTACAAAAGGAATTCTCAGAATTGCAAATCCTGTGGAGGAAAATAAAGCCCTGCTACTTGGCAAATTGGGAAAAGAGGCAAGATCGCAGGCAGAAGAAGTACGTAGGATGGCGTGTTGCAAAGGCTCCTGCCACGGCCAGTGTCAGCGGTACCATGCATCTTTAACAAGTGAAACCTTTCTCTATCTGGAACAAAAGCTTTTTTGCCAATCAGCAAAAATTTCCCAAGCACCAGTCTTGTGCCAGACACTGTGCTGGGTGTTACCGAGTAAACCGATAGTGACTGTGACCTTAACCCAGGGAGGGGAAAGGGTGAATTTACTGTTGTCCTTAAGGGCCTCTGAAAAATAACAGATGCCCTGGGATTTGATAAGGGTGACGTTAGGCTTTGGCCTTAGTAAGACCAGGGTTTTTCTGCCTCTATGTCATATGATTTTGAAAAAGTTACTGAACTTCTCTAAACCACAGAATGCATTTATTTAACTGGTGTAGAGTCTGGGAAGACCAAAGGAGGCAATGCATGCAAGCTGTTATTTTAAATAACATTTGGTGTGTGCTCCACAAATATTAGCTATAATTACAATTATTTCATTATAATTTTTTTGTTTGTATGGGCCACAGTGTGTCCCATGAGAGCTCCACATCGGTGAAGTGACAAATCACATGGAAGAGGCTCCCTAGCTGATAGCTTAGCCCAAAGGCACCTGTTTCTGCTGCTGCTTGCTCTCGCTTCTGCCTCCCACGTTTCCAATGTAACCAATGAGAGCTTCCCCCCATACATGGGCAAAGGCAAGAGCATGTTTTTGTTTTGGGCACAGAACTGACAAGGGATATTGGTTGTGAGATCCCAGAAAAGTCATTTAGCTTTATTATGTCATTTTTGAGTGGAGAAGGGCTAGACATGACCATATGGGAATGGAAGAGCTGTCAGTGGGCACTTGGGGACTGTATAATTTGGAGACTGTACTTCCTTTTCATTCTTTTTCGTAAGCCTACCACAGCAAGAGTCAGGAATGGAAAACGCTTGCTGATGAATGAGGATATCCCCTGAAGAACATTTGGTTTCCAGCTCACATGAAGCTTTTAGAAGCTATGCATTTATTATTTAAGCAGGATGGCAAATGCAGGTTCTCTGTTTTTGCCACAGGTGTAATGAAGGACGTCATGACATTGAGGTGCTCCCAAATCAGCTGAAGGAATCACCCCAGATGAGCCAATTCCTTTGGGTTTCCTTCAGGAAATAGATGATTTCAACTACTTTGATTCTCTCTGGGAAGCATCTGTGTTTTCAGATTAATAGAGAAAAGCAGTCTATGGGTGATCCTTTAGCAAGTCAGCTACCACAAAGGGCATGGGTGCCTTCATTTGTCATTTCAGTGAGAGTCCAGGGCTTGTCGAGAGTAGAGGTAAGCTTCTGACAGAAGTGAGAAATGTAAAACACAGTCCCACGGTCTGCACTTCAGCCTCTTCTCGAAGACCGCCATGGTGTGAGAAGACAGTTGTGGTCCTACACCTGCTGTAAACCCAACTGCAGAATATCTCTTTGCCCAGAGCATTGTGTACCCCATAGGAACATATCATGTCCCCTACACGTACTTTGTGTAGCAAAGTCCAGAATAAAGAACATTTAAATTGGCCCTGTTGCATTATCACTGTTCATGAAGTTAAATGTTAACCAGTCCAATTAAATTTAAGAACTCTTAAATATTAGCCAAAGACTCAAGTTAGGGAAGCTTAGACAAGCAGTATTTCACCACAATGAAGACTGCTGGATTTGTGTAGAGAATTCCCTTACAAATATTGTTGGTTGTCACTTAAAAGGGGTAGTGTGAATGATCTTCTCTCAGCCTGACCGGCTTCCTTGTCATCTCAGCGACTGGATATGGAATGAATGCAGGGACCAGTTACCACAGCAACAGCACCTTCCAGTAAAGGTGATGAGAGAAATCATTCCTCTCTGAATGCTAATAGGTTGTCACTTTCATCTTAAGCTGGCTGTTTCCCACTGTTTTCCTGATTGCCATGAAGCCAGAGAGATTACTTACAGATTGAGGGCTGCGACTTGATCTGATCATCTGTGTCCTAGTTTATGCTATCTTTCAGGAGAACAACAACAACAAAATAATAATTGAAACAAATGTTAAGGGCTATGTTTTCAGAAATTTAACATTTGTGACTTTTATTCCAGAGAAGTAAGACTTTTCTGTAGTATCTAGATATCATTCTTTAAGCAGAAACCATCTAGTGTCGAATGGGATTCCATCATTATCTGTAAATTACCTGCCATGCAGAGCCTGGCCCTGCTTGCCTGCCCTGAGCTCAGGGCCAGAGAGGAGAGGCAGCTCCCTCACCAAAAGGCAGCGTGAGGTTGTGAAGATCATCCTAAAATGAAATTTATGCATGAGACTAATTTTTAAATCCTGAAAGTCACTTGTAATAAAGGATTTTAGTTTTTTCCATCATTGGCTTGAAAACAAGATTAAAGACTACATTCACTGACAGAATTAAGGGATTACTCAAGTGTCTCCCTCTTTATGACATCATTGAGTAAATTGTGATTATGTGATGGAACTAAGAGTTAATTGCAATGCGGGTCACTCTTTCACTTCTCGGAGAGTGGAAATTATTATTGGGGAAGCATGAGATGAATTATACACAATGTCCAGTTCTCTAGATTAACGAGGGTTGAGCCCTAGGTCTGTTGCGTTCTCTCTAAGTCTCAGTTTGCATATGGGAAAAATTAGGAAAACAAATCCTATGTTAAATGATGTTGATTAAATCACATGAGATAGTGTATGGGAATTGCTTAGCACAGTGCCTGGCATATGATGGGCTGAAAAACAAGTTATACATTATCATTACTATTTGCTTGACATGAGAGCTTTGGATAAAAATTCTGTCTAGAGTACAGAATTATGAAAAGATGTATAGCAATATCAACCCCAAATATCAGGGTCCATAAGACTGCAGCAATACCTGACCAACACCTTTGATCTGTCCTGTGAATGCCTTGCAAACAAGAGTAGAGCTTAGATTGATGCAAGTATTTTTTAAGTAAAATTTGTCTTTGAATTCTTAGCACCCATTAAAAACAGTGTTGGAGTATTTTTAATGACACTGGAAAATGTCTATGATATACTGTTAAGTGAAAAAAGTGGGTTACAAGACAGTTTGTACAGCACGGTCCCATTTTAGGATGATGGAGAAGAATATACAGAAAGAAAAATATATACTTACATGTGCAAACATTTATGCACACATGTGCATACACGTTCACTGGAAGAGTATTACAATTTTAAGGGAGATATTTCTGATTCTTAGAATTGTGAGTGGTTTTATGTTTCTATTTTTATCTTTTATTTGTCATATTTCCTACAATGAAATGTACTATTTCTATAGTTAAAAAATAGTCACTCTAAAAATGAACCTGAAATTGACCCTAAAATGTGAGTTAAACAGAATCTTTTTGTCTTTCCTATTATTATATCACTCCAGTGGCTGGAGAGCAGAAGCAGAAATCCCTGTGGGGTTTGTACACTAGTCTGGTGCCTCATTAGAGTTACCTCTTATTTTCTGGGAACACTAAAGTCTACTGCTTCTGCTCTCAGGCTCAGGACCCGGGAAGACAGAGATACAGGTGTTATTTTGTCATCCTGAGGTCTTTCTCAAATGTGTCCTCAGGACAGAGCCCCAGTTAAACCATTTGTGCTGATTTCTGTACCA